GGGTCACTGCTCTTGGCTTTAGAGCCTGGGGTCCCAGGAGCGGGCTGTTCACATTTGTCTGTGCCACGTGTCTGTACGTGGGGCGATGTCTTTAAAAGCTGGAAATCCTAACATGCTTGGTTTTTTTTCCCCCTCTTCTGGCTTCCTCTTACACCTGCTGAGTCCTCTGCTGAGTTTGTGTTTAGCCTGTTACACAGAGTATGAGTGTTAGCTCAGTGGAAACGACTTGAAAAGCCGAAAAGGGAGAAGAATACCTTCCACTTGTCCCCCTTGAGGGAGGAGGGATCTTCAGCCCCCAGGTCCCAGTACCCAGCCCCCAGGTCCTAGCCCCCAGCACCGAGCCCACAGCTCCCAGGCCCTAGCACCCAGCCCGCAGCACCCAGCCTGCAGCCCCCAGGTCCCAGCCCCCAGCACCCAGGCCCTAGTACCTAGCCCCCAGCACCCGGCCCCCAGGTCCCTGTCCCCAGCCCGCAGCCCGCAGCACCCAGTCCCCAGTACCCAGCTCGGAGCCCCCGGCCTTGTGAGGATGTGTGCCCCTCCATGCCCGCCCCTGTCTCAGCCGCGCTCAGTGCCCCGTCCCTGGGCCTTCTGTTCACTTCAGCTCTGACGTCTGTCTACCCACACATGGGATCCTAACTCGTATCTCACTGGGCAGCCAGCCTCCCTCGGACGCCGGCCTTCCGTGCTCTCGGCAGCAACTGTCAGGCCGTGAACGTGACTCCTCCTGCCGTCCTCTCGTTGGAGGCTGGTGCTCCAGGCCGCTGGGGCCGCGCGTGTGCTGGGCCGGGCTGTATCCTGAAATGAGCTCTCCCTGGGAGCCGAGGTGGGAGGACAGCCACGTTTTATGAATGGGCCGGAGAGGCGCTCGAGGTTTTGCGGGAGGGAGGACCTTGGGCAGGAGAGGGGAAAGGGCTCGGCCGGCCGGGGATTCGGGAGAGCTTGCTCAGGACTCCGGCCACATGGCGCCCGCGGGGGATCCTGGGGGGCCTCGCCCAGACGCCCCACCCGCGGGCCAGGGCTCCGGCTCCAGCCGCTGTGCGTGCGCGCTGCCCCGTCTCTGCAGCACCGCCTTCGGTCAGCGGCGGCTACTTCCCTGCAGGTTGTGTGTCCCCTCCCACCTCCCCTGTGCAGCCCGCAGCCATGCCCGGGCCCGCACAGGTTCAGGAGGCCCTGCCTCCCGGGGCACCGGTACTGGTGTGATCCCCGTCCTGGCTTAGCTTCTTCTCTGCTTCCTCCAGCCCCTGCTCCTGAGACTTGCCCCTCAGTAAGTCTCCTGCACCCACATCCTGGCTGCAGACTCTGCGAAGTGTTACAAAGACACCTGTCAGACTGCCCACCGTGCTCCCTCCTGCCGTTCAGACATGCCCACCATTGAGACGTGCCCGCCGTGCTCCCTCCCGCGGTTCAGACGTGCCCACTGTGCTCCCTCCTGCCATTTAGACTTGCCCACCGTGCTCCCTCCCGCTGTTCAGACGTGCCCACCGTTGAGACGTGCCCACCGTGCTCCCTCCTGCCGTTCAGACATGCCCACCATTGAGACGTGC